ATATAAATAAATGCGAATGTCAGTGTGTCACTGTGTCATACTTTTTCAACTTTACTCCTAGACGCTGTAGCCCAACATATCATACCATTTTGATGGTGTTCTTTTTAGATGATATTGTTTGTATGATTTTTTTTGTTTTAATCTTCCAACTGTGTTTAGAAAGCATTGAGCTATTCGCGTATTTACTATTTATAAAGGATTTTTATGTACGTACTTTATTTCTTTCCAGCATCATTAAGTTACTCCTATGTATATTTTTTTTCGTTATCTGCTGATTTTATATCAGCTTGGCTTGGCTTGGTATATTACATTGTTCTGCAAGCAATTGCTGTTTAAGGGACATTCGTTCTTTTTCTGCAGTTACACATTGATATAATTTGTTTAGCTGATTTGTTGATTGTTTTCCTATTGTACTTTTTTATAATTTGTGTCATCTTCTCAGCGCATCTGTAACTGGTTTTTACTGTGTTTTTGTAGAATATCTTGTGACGAATTCTTGATGCGGGAGAGTGTTTGTACATGTGTTTAATGATTATCTTTCCTACGTTTGTTTTTACGTTTTTGTTGTACGGTGGATTGAACCATATGATTTTTCAATTCCAGTTTTGGCAGGAATCCACTATCATTTAGGGCTGTTTCATAATCTTTCTTAGCTTTGTTGAAAATGGATTACACTGGAAGAATTGTCTGAAAGCCAGCGATTAATTGATTGTGCTATTTTCTTGATAATTGATGGAGGGTGGTTTGAAGATATGTGCATATAAAGTGGTTTATCATTGGGTTTTCTGTATGATTTATATGTATCTTGAAGGTGACATCAATAAAATCTACTTAGTTTGTGTTAGTTTTTATGTCTATATCAAATCCCATATTTTTCAATGTATTTATGATTATTTTTTAGTTTTGTTCTATGTTTCATTTGTTACGTTTTCTTAAGACTACGAGGCCATCGTCCCTGTAAAGTCCTGTATTATTTTTATCGATTATTTTACTTAGGGCGTGTAGCAAATATATACCTATAAAGATATATACTGAGGAAAAACAAATATTCATACACATACAAATTTTGAGTTTATTGTATTCCCAACAAATGAATAAACCTACTTTTCATATAATTAACTACATAATAACTAAACATGCATAAAAACAGACAAATTTGTTTTAATAGAAATAAATACTATTTATCCATTTTAATGGGCGAGAAAATTATTAAATTATTAAATTTAAATTGCTTTTATAGTCTAGATTATTCAAGGGTAATATTCTAGAATTTAATGATTTTGGTTGAAAATCTTGAACTTCCTCCTGATTGGATCTTCCAAGAAGATAATGATCTTAAGCACACTGCAAAATCTATGAAGAAATGGCTTGCTGAAAATAATGTAAAAATCCTGAAATGGCCAAGTCAGTCCCCAGATTTAAACCCAATCGATAATCTGTAGCGTTATTTGAAAACTCAAATCCAATCGAGAGCTCTAAGAAACATCCCGGATCTGGAGACCATATGTAAAAAAGAATGGAACAATATATCAATTCAACTTCGAAAATCATTAATTGAGAACTACAAGAAGAGGTTGGTTGCTGTAGAAGTGAATAATATATTATATACACACACACACACACATATGTATGTATGTATATATATAATCGACTCTCCCGTCGCGTTCGACGTATGAGGGTCAGGCCGATAAGTCCCCAGGAAACCGACATCCCGACACCGGCACATGAGATTTGATTATAGCGGTGCAGGCCTCGTGCAGGACCAGCCACACTTTTTGGAGGGACGAATACAGAAACCTGGTGCACCGAATGCATGCCACAAGGTTCCCAAACGACCCTCCGCAGGTTTTGAATTCAGAGTTGTCCTTCTCCTAGACCAGTTGCCATCCAAGGCTATAGAACCCAGTCTGTCCTGCTATTTTACCCATAGCGGGAGGGAGATGAAGAGGATACATATATATATATATATATATATATATATATATATATATATATATATATATATACAGTCGCAAAAAAATATTCGTATACATACAAATTTTGAGTTTATTGTATTTCCAACTAATGAATAAACATACTTTTCATATAATTAACTGCATAATAACCAAATATTCATAAAAAACAGACAAATTTTGATTTAATAGAAATAAATTTCATTTATCCATTTTAATGGGTGAAAAAAAGTATTCGTACAATGCAAAATATCAGATTTTAAAGCTTTTAAATTGCTTTAATACTCAAGTGGAATGTTCCAGTAATGATATCAGCAGTAATTTTTAGCCTAAAAAATACAAACAGAACATTCTGTAATTGATATTTGTGCAAGAAGGTTATCATCATGGCAAGACGTAAAGAATTGACAAATTCGCAAAAAGAACTGATTGTTAAGCTCTGGAAAGAATGTAAAATTTACAGGAAAATCTCAGACAACCTGAATATTCCATTTACTACCATTAGTCTATTCATTGAAAGGTATAAATAACTCAAAACTGCTGAAAACCAAACAAGAGCAGGTGCTCCACAGAATATTTCTTCAAGATCTTCAAAGAATTTAATGTGCCAAATTAGCAAAATCCAATGGTTACTCGTGAAGAGTTGAAGGATAAGTTGCTTTCATCAGAAATCTGTCACTAAACAGACAATAAGCAATGAAATTCATTGGAATAATCTGAAATCACGCCCCCCCTTGGAAAGCTCCACTGTTATTGAAAAAAGACAGAGACACCAGGTTGAAATTCGTTCATGAACATAAAGATAAGGAAAAATCGTATTGGGAATGATTATTATCGACAGACGAAACCAAAATAGTTGTTGAAATCATGTTCTAGAAATCATGTATGGAGGAAATATGGCGATACCTTCAAACAAAAGAACACAGTTCCAACGCTAATATTTGGTGGTGGCAGCATCATGGTTTGGGAATGTTTTTCTGAAAAAGGGACTGGAAACATATCAGTAATATATTGCAGAAGGAATGCCGCAACATATCTAAATATTTTGGAAAGAAATTTAATGATTTCGGTTGAAAAACTTGAACTCCCACCTGATTGGATCTTCCAACAAGATAATGCTCCTAAGCACACTGTAAAATCTATGAAGAAATGGCTTGCTGAAAATAATGTAAATATCCTGAAATGGCCAAGTCAGTCCCCAGATTTAAACCCAATCGAGAATCTGTGGCGTTATTTGAAAATTCAAATCCAATCGAGAATTCTAACAAACATCCCGGATCTGAAGACCATATGTGAAGAAGAATGGATAAAAACAATAACAACTAAAATCGGCAAATCATTAACTGAGATCTACAAGAAGAGGTTCGTGGCTGTAGAAGTGAATAATGGTTATACTACAATAGATTAATAAAATTATTAGATGAAGATTATTATATTATTTTTCGCGTTGTCCGAATAAACCGATTAAAATGGATAAATGGGATTTATTTCTATTAAATCAATTTTTTCTATTTTCTATAGATATTTAGTTATTATACATCTGTGTACTGTTAATTATATAAAATGTATTTTATTCGTTAGATGGAAATACAATAAATTACAAATTTGTATGTGTACGAATATCTGTTTCCCCTCTGTGTGTGTGTGTACATATATATATATATATATATATATATATATATATATATATGTGTGTGTGTGTGTATATATATATATATATATATATATATATATATATATATATATGTATAGGGTGCGATGGGTAAATTGTCGCCATTTTATATATTTCATTTTGCACATGCGTGTTGCTTTTGCTGCTGTCGGCTGGACATGGGTCAGTTGGTTAATGTGTTTGAGAAAAATGCACCTTGACTCAAGACGCAATATATTCCGCTAGAAATTTGGAAACGGCATGCTGTACTACTTGACATTCGGACAGTAAGCTCTAATACGAACATTTCAGACTGTTAGGTTGTCAATAATAGGACAGTGCAGAGGATTCCGAAAGAGTTGGAGGAGTCTAATGGTGATTACGAAGATACGGCATATCGGAAAACTCCGATCGTTCTGATAAAAAAAAAGAATTCCCGAATTTATTGGTGAGTGCCTCAGACTCATAACGGAGGCCTACGTCAAGTGCCTTGAGAAGGTAGGGATTCCCTGGGTCAAAGGGGTGGCAAGTGGAAGACCCTATACCTGGCAACAGAACTTTACACGATGCTGCTCAAGCAGAACTGAGTCATGACGGTCAGAAAATTTCTACGGCCACATTACCCATTGCATTTGCACATCTAACACCCCAGATTGCAACCCCTTTGATTATTATGCGTGGGGCGCAGTTAAGCGAGAGACCAATCAAACTTCTTGGAACCCCAAAGATGAACTGAAGGCAAGGATTATGGCAGCATTCACCAACTTAAAAAATGAGACCAAGCAAAAGAGTCGCAGGAGAATCCGAAGTTGTCTGAAAGCCGCGTTTGAAGCCAATGGCGATTTTGTTAAATGAATGCACTCTTTAGTTTTTTAAGATATTTTTTGTAAATATGTCTGTTAAAATAAGATGTCAGTGTTATTTTCATTTTTATGTAAATTAGACGACAATTAGTCCATCGTACCCTATATATATATATATATATATATATATCAGAGAGACATAGACTGGGTCGAATTAAAATATGCAGAGAACATATCGTACCCAAGTAATGCCGAAAAACATAAATTATAGTAACTTTTCGTTTATTTCACTGTCAATTTTCCCCGAACATGCTGTAACATATCGTACACACCTATGGGATAATATCGATAGATAGATAGATAGATAGATAGATAGATATGAGTAAAATGTGTTATATAGAGAGATTATGAACAAGTCGAGAGTGACAGGTATATAGATAGAGAGATACAGACGCATATATGTATACATGAAAATATAAACATATTACATATATATATATATATATATGTATGTGTGTGTGTGTGTGTGTGTAACAATAGATAGATATAAATATATTAGAAAGACATACATACATACATACAAATATATAGATTTTAACAGACTGAGATAGATAGGTAGATAGATATGGGCAAACTGTGATAGATAGATAGATAGATAGATAGATAGATAGATAGATGTCTCAGATTGTATTCATTTTACATTCTTATAAGTGTCTATAAGAATCTAAATATATTCTGGAAGTGCAGAAAGAAAGTGCGCATATAATTAGATATATATATATATATATATATATATATATATATATAGAGAGAGAGAGAGAGAGAGATAAGGATACATACATACATCATACAAATTTTCTGCCATATGCCAAGAAATTATTTATTCAACCCTTGCAATTTTAATGGAACCTGCGGAATTACCCTCAAGCCGATGGAGGCATGAAACCAAACAATATCCTCAATAGTGTCTGACGAAATGACTGAAAGCAAAATTGATTATGGAGGCCCCTGAAGCTCTTTATTATTTTGACATGGAGCCGATTGCATTGGGCAGGTAATTTTTTTTTATTTAATGCGTAGTATGCATTGACAAAAGCAAAGAGACAAATCCTTTCTAATTATATTTTCTTTATTTACCCCCCAGGACCGTCAACTTTTTGTTCCGACAGGCTTTTCCCCTGCAGCGTTTGGTAAAGTGCAGGCCTGACGACACTTGGACAAGTCAAACCTCATAAATGTTTGACGCTATTGTGTAGATATTCCTGTGGCCCCCAACCCACCTACACGCGTCTTATTCTTGAAATGTGCTCATGTCAGCAAGGGTAAGTCTACCAGAACCATATGCAACCACATCCTAATTTGGATATGTCGAAAGAATAAACATCCGAATCCTGCCTTTTCCAAGATGCTGATACTGCTTCAAGTAGACAGGAAAAGATGAAGATAGATAAATAGATAGATAGACAGATAGTGTACAGCCTGATATATATATATATATATATATATATATATATATATAGAGAGAGAGAGAGAGAGAGTGAGAGAGAGCGAGATAGATAGATAGTGTTGTGACCAAGTAAATGGTTAAAGAAATAACAAAACAAGTGTTACAGATATATCATACATTAAACAGTAAGTACAACAGAAGAGTATTGCATGACTAGTGCGTGTGTGTCCTTTGACCCAGCGTTCAATCAATTCGACTGTTATATTTAACACCCCCGACGAGAGATGTATGTGGTACAAGACCGAGTTTACTATGGGTTCTCCGAGCCCGTAGGCTCAGCCCAAAATATTCCCTTAGAACCCGTATAAACGGGTTCAGGTCTGTCTACCTCTCCGGACGAAACTTCGGCAAAACCTCATCCGGGTTCCTCTCTGCTCAAGGTAGAGAGTTCGACGGTTACGAACAATCTATGCGACTGTTCCCCCAAGGCCTTCTCTCCTACTAATCTTATAGTAGGCGGAAGAATCCAACATAGACTCTTTAGAGGGAGGACACCACAACAGATAGATATGTACAGACTGCGATAGATAGATAGATAGATAGATAGATAGATAGATAGAAACAGAATGGGATAGATAGATAGATAGTTACTAACAGACTGCAATATGTATTTCTATTTATCGATCAGATAGTCAAATAAGAGCAGATTTCAATAGATGTATAGATAAATACGGACAGACTGCGATACCTATCTATCTATCTATCTAACGTTCTATCATAGATAGCATACAATATATGTATATATTATCTATGTATATTTCTATCTAGCATACAATATATGTATAATTATCTCTCTATCGCAGACTATTCGTATCTATCTATCTATCTAACTTTTTAGTCTGCGATATATATATATATATATATATATATATATATAATTATATATATATATATATATATATATATATATATATATATATTTATGCTAGAGCGAACCTTAGCTACAGTTTCTGGGAGAAAACACTCAAACACTCGGTCACGATGACTTGTGACTTCGTGCTAGCTCAACCTCATTTCGACTGTTCCAAATAATGCCGTCTACCCAATTTCACTTACAAGGCTTGGGTCAACCCGTAGTATGGTCTTCAGCCAGTTTCTCGACCGGCCGATAACATGAGCGAGATTCGAACGCGGTTCTTATAGTTGGAATGCGAACGTTCTAAGCACCCTAACCAAGTTCCCACCAATCTCTAACCATAATAACCCCACAAAGAATAGTCTTATCACCACTTTGTCTTAATATCTTTTATTTTGACACTTTTCAGATGTCATCCTATACTTTTACCTGGTCGTAAAATAAAGAAATAAACAACCCTTAAGAAATGCGTGGGCGTTTAAAATGTGGTATGAATTTCTCTGGTCTAAATAGTTATTGCGACGATCATGGAAAACAGCGATCGGAAACTTGGGGAGTAAGTTCAGAACTCTCCGGAAATTACTTCTTTCCGATAGTCCTATTGTTTTGTATGGTGAATTTTCAAAGCGTATCTTAGATGTCGCACAAGGCCGAGAGTACGGAGAACACAGGGAGGATCGAACTCGTTGAAACTGTTCTAGCGAGACAAGCTTGCTAACCATTACACCACACTGAGGTGCCCTAAAATGATTTTTTAAGCTACGCTTAGACGTGGCACGAGGCCAAAAGTGTGAAGCACCAAGTAAGGATCGAACTCACTATGCAGTCGTACTTTTTTCTATCGAGACAAGCTTGCTAACCATTACACCACGACGAGGGGACCTTTATGGTTTTGTCTGACGCTTGAGAAGTGTATCAACCCGGTACGTTTCTTTTTTTCTTTAATTAAAAATCAAGATTTATAAAATGTTTTTTGGTTTGGTTTGTTTTACGGCATATCAACACCTAAATGGGTTATTTAATATCGACAAGATTTTTATTGCTGGTAATATTTTTTTTTCAAAAATGTATAGCTGGTAATTTTTTTTTCTTCAAAAATTCGTTGCTGGTAATAATTTTTTTTAAAAATGTATTGATGGCATTAAATCCTATTTTTACACTTTCGTAGTGATTTGACTCCAGTTTGGGGTAAACTATTTGCCAAGAGCTGGGACCCTAACAAGTGCTGCCATTTTGAGCCAGGGTGGACCTGGGAACACCAGCCATTAAGAGTTGGTTCTACGCAGAGGCCTTTTTGTCGGATGTAGTTTATCGTCTTACCCAGGATGGTCTAGTTTTTATTCACCCTATATTAATGCCGACAAGGTATTTATTGGTGTTAATATTTTTTTTCAAAAAGTATTTTTGGTAATATCTTTTTTTCCAAAAATGTATCGCTGGTAATAATTTTTTCTTCAAAAATTTACTGCTGGTAATAATTTTCTACAAAAATGTCTTACTGATACTAAATCCTATTTTTACACGTTTTGATCCCATTTTGGGGGTTAAATATTTGCCCATCGATGGGACCTTAACAGGTGCAACCACCCCGGGTCAGGGTGGACCTGGGAACACCAGCAATTAAGAGATAGTTTCACGCTCCTCAAAACCTCCTGATCAGTGGCCTTGCTGCCATATGTAGTTTATCGTCTTACCCAGGACGTTAAAATGTTGTGAAGCCGATTTATAATATAATAAATACAAGTAGGAAACTGTTTGCGATTTGAATTTCAACTGTTATATAATACCGTGGAAATTTCTGCATTTCATCGTCAAATAAAAATTATACAAATAGATTCAGGTCATTATATAAAGAAGGGTTCAAATGCCACATTATCTATTTCACTGAAGCAGACGTTACTTGCATGCAAGCATTATCACCTCAGTTATCTCTAATGTCATTCTTTCTTGTCATTGAAACAAAGCTATGTCTCGGACATGTCTTTATTTTTTTTAAATCATTACACCCTCCGCCAAAAGAAGGCGATAATTCCACTAAGACGCAACGGATGATGGCGCGTGACGTCGCATTAAAACTTTTGTAGATTGTAGTTGGTAAGGAAGGAAAAACCCGGAAGATAGATCCACAGGCGAGGAGTGCATGAAAATAAACTATTATAATAGAACCTTCGGTCGCATATGGCTATATCAAAAGTAAAACGGTCAGACGTAATTGTTAATCTAATAGTACGGCTAAATTCATACTATCAAGGTACTAAGGATAAAAGCTGATTAGTACAATTGTTATTGCCAAGTATTTATAGAAAAGAAACATGGAAGCCACATGTCGAAATGTCAGCTCAAACTCGATAATATTACAGACCCGTCTTTGGATTTTGGTCAAGAATCTAGACATATATAGCAGGAGCACAAGACCAGATATGGCAGGAATATTCAATGCACGGACAAAAGGTTTTGTGATTTCAACAAACACTCCTTGATTCTTTTATAATGTCAACGAATACTCGTTATCACTTTTGTAATGCTCGTTATAGTAGAGACTTTGTAATCGCAGGTAGAAACTATAGTAACGCCGTTGAACAATACTAGTGTCAGACGCCTTCGAATATCACTCGCACTAATAGTACTTGCTCCATAATACTCGCTCAAATAGTAATCCTTTTAGTGATCCAAATAGAGAAATAGTATAGTAAATAGACTAGAGAATAGCGATCCGTATAGTAATAAAGGGCAGACTCGAAATGGCGATCCGTATAGTAATAGATGATAGACTAGAAATGGTGATCCGTATAGTAATAAAGGTTAGACTAGAAATAGCGATCCGTGTAGTAATAGAGGATAGACTAGAAATGGCGATCCGTATAGTAATAAAGGGCAGACTCGAAATAGCGATCCGTATAGTAATAGAGGATAGACTAGAAATGGTGATCCGTATAGTAATAGAGGATAGACTAGAAATGGCGATCACGCGACTTTCTAATTATGCGTTTCCGCTATGGTCACGTGGTCGAATTTAATAATGGGATCGCTTGTGTTTGCTCACCTGCAATCTATGTTCAAACTTAAATTTCGGCAGCGACACTTTATTTCTATATAATAAAAGGTGAACGTATAAATATGTAAAATGGGTATTGAGAGGAAGAAATTGTCTGGCACGATAGAATGAATCAACTTTCCCTCCAGCAGACGTAGCAGTTGATTCAATATACTCATTCCACATCATGACAGTGGAAAACGTGGGACCAAGAAGGCGCAATGAGTTACTGTACAGGGGGTTAGCATCAGCCATGCAAGTCTCGAATGATTCTCTATGAAGATTAAAAGATTTCGGTTTCGTTTTGTAGTCGTTAAAATTTACAAGCCATTTCTTGCCCCAGTAAACAACTGATTGAAGTTAAATTTCGAGAACAGCTGCCAGTTTTATTTTGTCAGACCTATTGGATTGACTTTTCAGACAGGAGTGAATGGCTGTATCATCCGCATACATTTTTCATCGGTACAAGTTCGTTAATGAAGACAAGAAACAAAGTAGGTTCGGGGTCAGAGGCCCGGGGTGGTGTCCATGCATTAATGTGAAGGATCTAGAAGCCTGGCCGTTAAACATTGGCAGGGCGTAACCTACGTGGTAACTAACTAACAAAGTGGGTAACTAACAAGCAGCATTATGAAACAATGCTTTCTTTTTCTCGGCAAAACCAAACAGCACCTCTGAGACATCTTACCCCTCCGTCTTTCCTCGCAATCAAAACGGAATTCTCCATTATTTATCAAAGATAATGGCAGGGCGTAGCGTACGTGCTAACTTACAAACTAACGCAAGAACAAGGAGAATTATAATTTGATGTCAATTTTATGTCTAATGAATATAAATGTTTGTTCAAGCTGTCGAAACCCTTATCGTCCCAGAATATATTGATAAATTGGAAGACAGCGTAAAACTAGTATGAAACTGACAGACGGCGGAGTAAAATTGCGTGTGTCGAAAATGTGGGTTGAAAAAGACATTTGAATATTAAAGTGGCTTCTGCATGCGTGTGTGCGACAGAGATTTGAAGTGGGCTTTCAGGGACGCAAGAAATACAAGATTTGATGAGGGGATAGCAGTTTTTCGTTGACAAAAGTGTAAAGTCGAGCTGACAGTTAACACGGACAATACAGAAGTAAGAGGCGTCACGATACCAACTGGACGGATGTTGTCATCGGAACAATATGGCGAGCATTGTTGGGAACAGGAAAGAAGCGAGTGAAAATCAAGGTAGACATAGTGAGCGGGGAAAAAAGCGAGACATTGAACAAGAGGGGGAATGAAATAACAGCTGAGAAGAAGAAGGCGAAGGGAAAATAATGAATAGGAGGTAACGGGTGAGAATGAAATCAGAAAAGAAATAAAGAAAAAGGAAAGGGAGCAGAACGAAGATGAAAAGAAAGAAAGAAACAAAGAAAGAAAATAGAAAATAAACCTTCTAAAAAAATAAACTATTTTCAAGATGCATAAGAAAGAAAGAAAGAAAGAAAGAAAGAAAGAAACCTACTAAAATAAAAAAGGGAAACTATTTTCAAAACGCGTTAGCAAGCAAGAAAGAAAGAAAGAAAGAGAAGGAAAGAGAAGGAAAGAGAAGGAAAGTGAGAATGAAAGAATGAAAGAAAGAAAGAAAGAAAGAGAGAAAGAAACAAAGAAATCAACAAAGAAACAAAGCGAGAAAATAAAAAATAAACCTTTTAAAAATGAAACTATTTTCAAGATGCATAAGCAAGCAAGCAATCAAGAAAGAAAGAAAGAAAGAAAGAAAGAAAGAAAGAAACCTACAAAAAGAAAAAAGGGAAACTATTTTCAAAATGCATTAGCAAGCAAGGAAGAAAGAAAGAAATGAAACGAAAAGGAAACATGACAGTTGAATAAAAAGAGCAATGAAAAGAGAAAGAAAGAAAGATAATGAGAAAGAAAGAAAGAAAGAAAGAAAGAAAGAAAGAAAGAAAGAAAGAAATCATCAGAAAGAGACAACGAAAATCAAGAGAAAATAACAAAGAAAGAAAGAAATGGAAAGGAAACCTTCTAAAAGAAAAGGAAACTCTTTTCAAAATGTGTAAGTAAGCAAGCATGAAAGAAAGAAAGAAAGAAAGAAAGAAAGAAAGAAAGAAAGAAAACGAAAATGAAAATGAAAAATACAAAAAGGAAAATATTTTAAAAGAAGAAGATAAGAAAGAAGAAAGGGATAATTATTTGTTGGAATGTAACAAATGAATACATCGAGTTGATAATATCGTTTTTAAATGAATGGAGATAAATTATCAATTCAGCTTATAAAAGAGAAAAGACATTGTTGGAAAGGAACGTAATAAGTCTATATAATACACATACGAGAGTTGAAATCAAACATGGCGACAGTTTGGTACGGTTACTGGAGAGTTCGTCAACAGACAAATGGATATAAATGAGTCGATAGTAAAGATAAGTAATGATAAAATTCGTTTTAAATAAACGAATCAAGCAGACTTCATCAACGTATCAACTTCAAACCAATATGTCAACTTAATCAGCTCCCTTACCACAAAATAAAATGGAGACATTTCTGCCTGAATTTCAAGGACAAGGAATTATCATTATTTAAACTTGAACTATTGTCCTCATCACTGAGAACTACAGGCTGAAGTTATCATGCAAATCAAATAAACCTCAATAATCCCAAAAGTTCTAAACCAATATTTGTAAAAAATAACCTCGTTCATTTCCACCCTTAGTAAAATATTTGACGGCATATAAGACGCACGGGTGTGTAAGACTCACCCTGATTTCAACAAGGCAAATCAAGAAAAAAATAGTAATTTTAGTAAAATTAGTAAACTTACATATGACATATAAGACACAGGCGAATTTTAAAAGATAATTTAGTGAAAAAAAATGAGCCTTATATGCCGTCAAATACGGTAATTAGATTTTCTGCCATTTTTTATGGTTAGTTTTTGAGATATTTGGAAGTTACAAAAATGGACTGACTGAATTTATTATGCAGATTAAATTAATATTAGCTTAAGACCTCTGAAATCTAATATACAGTATTTTACTTTTTATCCATAATATATTTTGAAACAGAGGTAAAGGGAATCATGTAATAACTGCTGAAAATCAGAATATAACATTTAACCCGAGAACACTAACCATGGGTATATAGTACCCAGCGCAAATTTTCCTATTTTTAATTACAATTTTCAGTACCTCATTTTCTTAACCAAATAATATGTTTTTCCGTTCCTATTAATGTTAACTCGAAGTACAAAATTTGAAGTGCCTGCGCGTAAAATATTCCAAATAAAGATTTATATTTAATTTTTTTTTTTTTTTTTTTTTGCTATTTTCAATATCGGGTATGATATACTCATGGTAGAGTTGTAATTTTAATGGATGGTTAGTGTTCTAGGGTTAAGTTATTGATTGAGTGAATGTCCACATTGGAGATATCAAAGGAGATTAGCAGAGATCATCGAATGATAAAGAAGTTTGATGAGATCTCGAAGCAAAGCAAAAGGCTTTAAGAACTTGCTTCCCCAAGATGAACGTAAACTAAATTATAGCGAAACAACCACTTTTGACCAGCGCTCAAATATTTGAAAATGCTGGAATTGAGGGAGTCACTGAGGACAAAAGATGTAGAATATTTTGTGAATTGCGATCGATAAAATATCTAGGCAAGGGGTTACAGAGTGTTGGAGCAAGAGCAAAGAGGAGTGATAGAGGAAAAGCTGATGAGAAGGATAGTGGATAGACCAAGGCATCTGGAGATGTCGATTGACATTACATTTGAATAGTTGGAGGTTATAGCTATCAGGGAAACAGGAAATGGGGAAGTAGTTCCACAGGCGAGAAGTGTGAGACATGAAGCTATTGGAGTAGAAGAGACGGCTACATTTAACAGTTTTGACAGTGAAAGGGTGAGAGCGAGATGCCAGACTAGAAGAACGCTTAAATTCATGAAGTCTGGGAACCAGTGAAAGCAGCTCATTGGAGCAGTTACCATGAAAGTATTTGTAAAAAAGACAGAGGGAGGTAACGGCACGTCTGTGATAGAGCGACTGCAGACGAGATGCCAGATCAGGGCCAATTACGTTGCATATCCGTCTCTGGATTATATCAAGGACCTTGAGGCAAACAGAAGGGGCTCTAGATCATATATGGCAGCAATACTCTATGCAAATGCGAATAGTTGATTTGTGGATTTGAAGGATCAACTTTGGCAAGAAAAGTTTCCTGGCGCGGCAAAGAGAGCCAACTTCCCTTGCAGTGAACGAAGCTATTAACTCAATGGGTTAAGATATTACATGAAAATATCCTTTTTAAGGTAATTTTCATGGACGAATCCCGATTTACATTTGATGGACATGATGGATGGAACAATGCATCGATTTTCTCCATTTAAGACATGCCTGTGGTTAAAAGAAATCTTTTCCTCCATTTTGAAAGGTGAGAATTATATACATGTTCATAAATTCATGTTATTCTCTCTCGTCATCCTCTTTATTTTATTTTCCCTTTTTTTTTCTTTTCTCCTTTTCTTTTCTCCTTTTCTTTTCTCCTTCTTTTCTTTTCTCCTTTCTTTTTCTCTTTTCTTTCTTTTCTCCTTCTCTTTTTTCTCCTTCTTTTCTTTTCTCCTTCTTTTTTTCTCCTTCTTTTCTTTTCTCCTTCTTTTCTTTTATCGTTCTTTTCTTTTCTTCTTCTTTTCTTTTCTCCTTTCTTTTTCTCCTTTTCTTTTCTCCTTCTTTTCTTTTCTACTTCTTTGATTTTCCCCTTCTTTTCTTTTCTCTTTTCCTTTTCTCTTTCTTTTCTTTTCTCCTTCTTTTCTTTTCTCCTTTCTATTTCTCTTTCTTTTTACTCCTTCTTTTCTTTTCTCCTTCTTTTCTTTTCTCCTTTTCTTTTCTACTTCTTTGATTTTCCCCTTCTTTTCATTTCTCTTTTTCTTTTCTCTTTCTTTTCTTTTCTCCTTCATTTCTTTTCTGAATCATTTCTTTTCTCCTTCTTTTCTTTTCTCCTTTCCTTTCCTTTTCTCTTTCTTTTCTTTTCTACTTCTTTTTTTTCTCCTCCTTTTCTATTCTCCTTCTTTCTTTTCGCTTTCTTTTCATTTCTCCTTTTCTTTTCTCCATTCCTTTTCTATTTCTTTTCTTTTTTTCCTTCTTTTCTTTTCTCCTTTCTGTGTCTCCTCCTTTACTTTTCTCCTTCTTTTCTTATAACCCACTTTTTTCCTCCTCCTTTTCTTTCCTACTTTTCTTTTCTTCTTCTTTTCTTTTCTCGTCCTTTTCTTTCGTCCCTTTTTTTCTCCTTCTTTTCGTTTCTCCTTTCTTTTTCTCCTTTTTCTTTTCTTTTCTCCTTCTTTTCTTTTCTACTTTTCTTTTCTCCTTATTTTCTTTTCTTTTCTCCTTTCTTTTTCTCCTTTTCTTTTCTTTTCTCCTCCTTTTCTTTTCTCCTTTTCTTTTCTCCTTCATTTCTTTATTCCTTTCTTTTTTCTCCTTTTCTTTTCCTCTTCTTTTCTTTTCTCTTTCTTTTCTTTTCTCCTTTCTTTTTCTCCTTTTCTTTTCTTTTCCCTTTCTTTTCTTTTCTCCTTCTTTTCTTTTCTCCTTTCCTTTTCTACTTCTTTTCTTTTTTCCTTCTTTTCTTTTCTCCTCTTCTTTTTTACTTTTCTTTTCTCTTTCTTTTCTTTTCCCTTTTTATTTCTTTTCTCCTTCTTTTCTGTTCTCCTTTCCTTTTCTCTTTCTTTCCTTTTCTCTTTCTTTTCTTTTCTCCTTTCTTTTTCTCCTTTTATTTTCCCTTTTTTTGTTTTCTCCTTCTTTTCTTTTCTCCTTTCTTTTTCTCTTTTTCTTTTCTTTTCTACTTTTCTTTTCTCCTTCTTTTCTTTTCTTTTCTCCTTTCCTTTTCTCTTTCTTTTCTTTTCTCCTACTTTTCTTTTCGACATTCTCTAACTTTGTTACTTACCCTCTAATTGACTCTTTCACATCTTGTGCACTGTTTCGTATCTTTTTTGCAATCACAGTCAAGATAGGGTTTAAAGCGCTGCATCTAAATGCTAAAATAATCATGACATTTTTGATGGGTAGTATGCATGTATATAATTATTCCTCCATCTTTCACGGACCATTTTCTTCGTGCGGAAGAAACGCTTTGCTCGATTTGCAAACTGTTCAAGGCGGGAAATGTCGGAAATAAATTTTGTCCCTCGCAAAATTACCCCCCCCCCGGACCGCACGATTTCCTTTTAGTAACAACAAACTCCAGACGGTAATGAAAAAAAGGTCGTCATGAATAGTTACGCCTCTTGAAAACGAATTTCCTGACGAGGATTTTCAGTTGCAAAACTTAACCGACACATGTGATTCGCATTCCAACGAACATTCTAGAAGAGCACATAAAAATCTTTATTGCATATAAAAATTCAGCTATTTCAGAAGTGAAATATTGTCACGACATATTGAAGAAATTGAAAAAAACGCCGGGCGCAAGTTTCACACTAAATAAGCTGCACAAATAGTCGAATAGATACATTGAAATAAAGTAAGTTCATATTTGTGTGTTTATTTATTTATTTTGTAAGTTTCTGGTTTTATTTCATAACATTTAAATGTATACCTTTTAAATGTTTGCTAAGTGTCCCGTGATATTTTCATTTGATCCAGGTGTGCCGTTGCTTTAAAAGGTTGAGAAACATTGCCTTAACCCTAATCCTGTTGTGATATTTTCATTAATCATCAGATAGCACTCCGAAAAAATGAAACGTTTAATTTTTTGGAAGGGCTATCTGATGATCCGGTGTATTTTAAAAGGGATCTGGTGAAATAAATTATTATAATGGAACCTTAAAGTGGTCCGTTTTTCTTTATTTTATTATATATATATATATATATATATATATATATATGTGTGTGTGTGTGTGTGTGTGTGTGTGTGTGTGTGTGTGTGTGTGTGCATTTAGGCCTCAAATACTCTTTTAGGCATGACAGATTGAATA